CATGAGAAAGCTGTGGATATCAACAGCAGAAGAAAAAAACCTAAAAGGCAAGGAGAAAGCCTACATCCTACCATGCTAATTTGTATTGTTAAGAGAGGAAAGTAAACAGCAATGTTTGCTAGGCTGAGGATTTTCAAACGTTGTATTTTATTTAGTGTTTCCTTTCAAAAATAGTGGTTTAATGAATATGCAGCATGCAGGGTCTGTGGCACTGGTAGTGTATCCATCACCATGGTACCTGAGCATTCAAGCAAATGATTAACCAGCAGAGCAAATGAAACAGTAACATAGAGCCAACAGACACCCTGACAAGCTCTTCCTACATCTGCCAGTACATCTCTATCTGGACCTTTACTCCTTCAGGCTTTCCACTGTCCTAACTTTCAACCATGTTCTTATGAGAACCAGATCATTTTTTCAAACAGTGCTAAGGGATGCAGAGACCTCAAACTGGCCTAGGGAGAAGGGTGAGATTAATAAAAAAAGAAACCCAAACAACAACAACCAAACCCACAAATATTTTCACCAGGAAAATGCTTAAAGACACAGTAAAGAAAAAAGTATTTTTCATTTACACAAATTGACTGTGAATTGACAAATTTTGTTATGTTTGCCATGCCATCAGTCTGGCCACTTTAAAATGATTTTTCTGAAGAGGGAAAACAAGTCTTTTCTTCACTAAGGGCCAAAATGACGTTTCAGGAGACTGATGCAGACCATACATGAACACTACTTTTAAGCATTACTGATAATAACTAAAAGAATACATGAAAACCTATGGCTATAGGTCTTCTGTAAAAAGCCTGGAGATTGCATCATCCCCTCCTCCCCAAACTTCAGGTGCAAGTTAATGACAACTCTGATGATGTTTGTTTAACATAGGTGCATCTAACTTCTTTGAGCTTCTTCTGGCTTGAGATGCTTAAGCAGAGACCTATGGGGTTTTAGGAAAAAAAAAAAAAAAGATATTCTTTTGAATCATCTACCCCTTGCTGTTCTGTTTTCTGTACAAAATCTCTGAGGAGCAGAGGAAAGCTGAGGGCCTTGCATCCAGGCCAACTTTAGAAAGGCTGGCTCCTCTCAGTATTGGGGAATTATGCAGCTGTAACACAGCCCTCACGGAAGAAGTTTCCTGTTTTCCATCACTAGTCGAGGCAATAATACTGGAGTCTAATTAAATTAGTGTCATGTGAAGTTTTTCCTCTTTACTGTAGCTGCTTCAGGTTATGAAGTAGTTACTTGCCCTCCATTCCAGTTTTTCCTTTAAAAGACTAAGTTCTGGGGACAATGCCATATTACCAACAGTGAAGACTCAAGTGCTCTCTTCCCAGTGCAGGTATTCTGTGCTACCGCAATGCCTCAGCAGCAGTTCTGAAGCAGACAGGAAGCACTGCACCACCCACCCATATTCAACTGTGAAAGCGGTGTAAAGTTCAGGATAAGGACCAGTTCAACTCTGTTACCACTCCTGTCTAGATTATATCCATCACTGTCATCTCTAAAGATTCAGATCTTCTGCGTGCTTCATCAGGCTTTCTAATCATAGCTAATGGAAGTTACATTTATTTAGCTGTTAGAAATGGCCTTGAAGATCTCAGTCTTGGCAAGGGTGATGAATTAAGGATGTCAGCTGAGCAAACAGTTTAATTTTGAATTAATCTATCCAAAACTGATTACTGAAAAAAATTATATGAATCTTTCAAGTTCATATTATTCCACATACTTTAGCAATAAATATTCCACCCCTTCTTGACATCTAACTTACCAAGCATAAAACTGGAAGAACCAGCAATGATGCCAGCTTCTTAGATGTGATACCAACTTTGGATACTATAACCAGTGAGAAGCCACTTTTTGACTGCAGCAGGGAGTACAGCCCTCCAATGGTTTAGCCCTCAGCTGACTAACAGCAATTCTGTTAAGCAGCCTGAACATGATAGCTAAAGCATTTTATGGAAAAACCCAGGAACACAAAACCCTGAAACCAACAATTGCAAAGAACTATTCCATGACACATTTATTGAATGTACCTGAGGTTGGTTTATTGTCTATGGTCCATTTTCAAAAGAATTAAAATAATAATAGGGGGGAAAGAAAATTATCATAAAATAGTAATGAGTTTTGTTGTGTTTTCTTTTTTCTCTCCCAGGTAATTTGGAGTCAGGAAGAATCCAAAATAACAGCATGAGTATTGAAAATTACAGGGTAATGTTGGAAAACCTCTAGAGGTCATCTAGTCCAGCCTCATGCTTAACCCAGTGCCAACTGAGAACAGATCACTCAGAATTAAAAGAAAATAATTTGAAGCAAAAATAAATAAAAAATAAGACTTCCCCATCCCCGTTTTGCACCACAAGGAAAAAAAGAAAAAGCAAGAGAAGTTTTCCTGAAATATATAGCTCTTCTGTGTTGCTCATAAGTAAATAAGACGGATATGGAAAATATCTAGCCTCCCTTGGTTGACTTTGTTCCCTTTCTGTCTTGTTGCAGGTAACATTTAGCAGTGTGTGGCAAACACCGACTCAGTTGCCAACACTGCTCTGCCACACTCCAGGCCAGAAAAGGCTAGGAATGCTGCACATTCAGCTTCAGTGAGGGAGAAAATGCTCCATATCATTCATTCATTAGCAGTCCCCTCCAAGTTAATTACAGGACAGCTGCTGAAGAGGGTTCCACCTCATCTTTGGGCTGGGAAAGCAAGGCCTCCAGGGCAGGGCCTGGAATATACAGCAAAGAACAGGGTGGGGGAACCTTGTGAGTTCGAGATCGAAGTGAAACCCAGATGACTCATCAGAAAGTGAATGTTCCTATTTTGGCAAGAGGCTGAAACAGCAGCCCTGGGTTGCACTGCAGCACAGCAATAAATGACCCTGAGCGCCTGGAACAAACTCCTGTGCACACTGATATTCCTAACAGTAGGGGTTATTTCACATCTCGTTAAGCCAGAGGTTTACATGACAATTAACACATTAATTAACAGCATCTTTTTCACAGGTGGAACTTTGGCTTGAGATTTGAACCTTTTCTCTTTGTTTCATGAGTGAAAAAGAAAGAATAGCTTCCGATAACTCAAGCTGAGAAGGACTCATATGCAGCACTGGCATAGGAGTAGACTGGTCTATGTACTGAGGAACACTGCAACCAGACGATGGCTTTTCCCAGAATGTCTATGCAAGGAGGGCGTCCTGTACAACATCTGCAGCCTGCCACTCGAAACCTAGCCCTCAGCACAGGAAAGATGCCAGGCTGGCCACTTCATAAGGTGACCATAAAAGGCCTATGGTACCACAAAGTCACACAGAGGCAGAGCAAAACCCAGACCTGAACAAGCAGTAGCTCCAATTTCTGAGCTCCAGCCTCTGACCTGTGTGGTTCCCCACTACAAAAATCCCTTTTTTTATATCTGTAGAGAGATAATCTGTGAGGAAACAATTTAACAAACATGAAAAAGCAATCATGCTAATTTCACTGAAAACAGGCATCAGCTGTAAGAGAATGTTTACTGCCCTGGAGCTTCACATTTGAGATAAAGAACTAATAATTTCTATCAGAAATTACTTTAAAGAGGAGTTGGTACTCAAGTATGGATTTCCTTAAACTGCAGGCATGTTTCTGAGGGTTTTGCTCAATACCACCTTTAATTTCTATTATATTTTGAAAGAATTGATTTGTGGGTATACAAGATTTAGAGCACTTGAAATGGAAAGAAAGGAAGAAAATATTGGAGGCTGGAACTAGAACTTGTAGCTTTCAAGCTCAGGGGGGTTCTTATATTCATTGAGTCCCTTCTCTGTCAGATGGATGTTGCTAACGCATGGAAAATGGTGACATGCTTTATATATATATTATCTTTCACTTTCCTGAGGTACATACTGCAAGGAAGTTGTGTTCTAAACAATGTCTAAACAATCATCATATTAATCTTTCATATATTTGGGCACTTGAAGCACAGAAAATTCAATGTGTAGTGGTCTTATCTATCATACCACTTACAAAATAAAACCAGGCTCAAGAGGAACGCTAGATAACTTTCCCTTCAATTAGCTTTTCAAAGATATCATATTTTTTAGAATATGATTTATTCCTTTTATTTATCACCCTGCCTTGTTTCAGATGGGTACTGTCTGACTGACCTCTAGATATCCTTGCATTTTCTCTGTGATATCCTCTGAATGTCAATGCTTCAATTCTTCATCTTTTATTTCCCAAACGTTTCTTATTGGTCACCTCTGGTACTGGTGACAGCTGAAGTGGAAGTTTATCCTCTGATAATCTGTACTGCTTTAATGGTTCCCAGCATCCTGAGGATATTTTCTAAGTGTTATGGTGACACCAGCTGAAATCTTGGCAATAGAAAAGTGTTTCATATGCTTATTTTCTAACTTAGTCTCTTGGGTTTTTTTTCTGCTTTCCCAGCCCTCTGTCAACCCCTTGATTTCTGTGGATTAACTCCTTTTGTTATTGCTATATTCTTTGTTATCACTTCTCAGTATCTCTCTGATAATAAAGCCTTTGAAGAATCTCGGGGCATTCCCACCATGCATCCAAAATCTCTTAATAAATTTCTGCAAACCTCCAAGTCACATTTGTCTAACAGCTTAGCAAAAATCCCCGTCTAAGAAAGGAACAACACTAGCCACATCTTCTTTATATATTTATCTGTAGAGTCTCAAAGCTATAGCACATAAACCTTCTAAAATGATAAGCATGTTTCAAACAGTTCTAATACAAAATATTACACATAACCCAAGTCACTAGCTTTAGCCTGTCTCCAAAATAACATATGCTTAGAAATGCTTATCCTTGTAGCATCACTATCCTCTTTCTGGTCTTTTTATTTTTTTCTTTTTTCCCCAGGATAAAATTAGTCTTGCACCAGCATGCCTGAAAAAGCAGAATTCTCATTTAATTTCAATCACTTGCTCAGTTTGCTCATGACTTTCCTACAGCTGACTGACATCTATTATCTCATCTGAAAGAGAAGCTGTGAGTTTGCTCACCTCATTCACCTGCAGGATCTTTGAAATGCCTCCTCTTCTGTTCCTCCCAAAGAGTGCCTTCCCGCATCTCCCAGTCCATTCCCAAACCCACTGAATATGCAGTCATCAGTAAGTTCTGGCTAAGTTATCCTGCATAACTCCAAAGAAAACAGGAGAGAGTCGTGCATGCTGCAGAAGGTTGTCTTTGCTCTCTTTGAAAATTTTGTGTTGGTGGTCTGTCACAGTCAGGTCTCCAGTAGTAAACTGAACAACCTATCCTCCTGGCTCTTCTTTTCTTCTTTTTCTTTTCTGTAAACACATAATCCGTGCTTCAAATCCTTTAGGTACCACAAACTGTATTTCTCTATTGCCCTCTACTGACTGCCTGCTAACACCGCCTTCCCGGAGAACTGGCGAGCAACAAATAACACAGTATGCTTTCCTCCACCGCCCGCCCTCAAATCAATAATGATACACGATGACCAAAAGTCAACACAAATCATTCTATTTTTTCCTTTGTTACAAAACACCAGGCAAGATTTACGGCTTGTTGGCCAGCCGTGGTAGCTACAAAACACTAAGCAACAGAAGCAGGAAGCAGCTAGTAACACGGGTCTGCTAATGTGTTTTTTTGGTGAATAAAAGCCAGGAAAAAGTAGAGATGAACACATTCTGCCTTGAAATGTGGGCGAACTCACCCCACCACTGTCGTAAATACTGTACCAGGAAGCTGAGGACTATCTGGTTTTAAAGGACTGGCCCTGCCAGCACTGGATGCACAGAAATACTGACTTTTGATGGGAGTTCTGCGGAAGGGGGCTCGCACAGAGCCATGAATCAGTGACCACGGTTTCTTGTTCATTTTCCCTTTGTCTCTAGAGTTTTATGTGCTTTGTATATTCAGCACCACACTTAAAATGAGAAACACAGCTCCTGCCTTTCCTGTCTTATGAGACAGGTACGGGGACAACACACATGACACGCTGTATACAAATGGCACTGAGAGGTGGTGTGTGCATTGCTTGCTGGACAAAAATAATCTATAATGCACAGAGAAACCAGTGAACTAACATAAAGAATTGCCCAGCATAATTCCAGGAACAGAAGAATAAAAAATGCATAGGCATTCAGAGAGACTGGAAGAGACTGGGGGGGGAAGAAAACCGGGGGGGGGGGGGGAATAAAACCGCATCCTTTACCTTTTATTAGTTACTGCTTAATTAGCATGGTACAGTGCTTGTTAACCAAGTCACCCTGGCACTTGCTCTCACAAAAAGTAAGTTATCCCAAGGTGCTGGTGCAAGTGCTGTGGCCCACCTGCACCACCCCTAGGGGCAGGGAGAGGTCAGGTCCCAGCTCTAAACAATACTAAAATCCCCAGCATGTTTTTCTTTTGCTGGGAGAGTACCTGGCACTATCCTGCCTCAGCATTCCTCCTCCTCTACAACCAACTCTCCTATGGGGAAAACATAGTTAACAAATGATAGAAACAGGCCCACCCACCCCCCCAAAAAAAGTGTTGAAATTACTGTTGCTTACTTGTATGCAAAAAAACACACCTGTTTTTTTCCCCACCACTATTAGTAAATGCGAATATCTCTTTTGCCAAAATTCTGCTGACCGATAAACACTGGTTGTGTTTTAAATAGCTGTTAAGTGACATCCCTGCTCTCCCACTCAGGAAAGACAGAGTTCATACAAACCCCATCACCAACAGCGCCAGCAACCTGGCAACAAAAAATGTTATGTTGGAGGGTCCCTTGGAAAACTCATTTTTAGTTCAAAAATAAAGTCAGCAGAGGCCCTAATTGTAGCTATTATGAACATTTCATTAATAAGCACAGATTTATTGACTGCACTATAATGCTCTCTTATTAAAGAAAGTCCAGAAATTCAATTCTTCGCATGCTTTTCTACTCCTGATGCCCTCAGCTACTCCATGTTAGAAAATAAGAAATAATTATATTTATTCAAATTCCTTGATGGACTATTGAAGCCTGCTCAGATGAATACCTCTCCTAAATGAGCACCATTACCAACAGATCAAAGAAGAAGAATGTCTAGCAAATGAATGGGGCCGAGGGAATTAATAAAACACACATCAAACGTTGAAAAGCTGAGGGTGTTTTTTCTTTTTAATAGTAGCACATATCCAGAATAATAAAGCAAAGCATTGATACTGTAAAAGTCGGTAAATAACACTCTCTCAGACTCGTGTTCAAATCTTAGAAAGCAGGCATTCTTTATTGCAGCACTTGGAGACACAGGGGATCCTTCCACCAAACTGCCTGGCGTTCTCAGAAGCAGGCATTATACAACAATAATACACACATATTCATAAAATTTCCCCTAAAAGTTATATATCTATATATATATTTAAATTTCTTGAAACTCATGGATAACGTCTCTCTTTTACCAATGTTTTACCAGTTTGCTCAACAGGGCCAAGGCCGACGCCTTTCTATTTTACTTTGTTTACAGGGACACCTAGTCTACTCCTGCTAAACAGCACAATGTGTAGGAGACAGCTCAGTTCATTGCCTGTCATGCTTGGCCCAGTGCGTAAAGATTAACCCTTTATGGTCCAAGCAAGTCGGGTATTATTATGGAGTTGCCAAAATTCATCAGAGGGCACCTAAATAGAGCAGATCACTGAGGTTCGGCACTTTTGACCATCGAGCGGGGTTCCGGAGCTGCGGGATGGGGTTTTTCACAACTCCTGACAAGACATCCAATTTTTTACCCTGAGGTGAAAGTTTTCTTTCCGACAGAAAAAAAACAAATAACTTTCACCACCTGAAGACACGAGTGGCTCAGCAACACGGGAGCCGTTTCCCATAGGGCGCCAACGCCGAGGGGGCGGGCGCCTCTTTCCCCTCCCCACTCTCCGCAGCCCTCCAAACTACCGGGGCCGCCCGCGCCCCGTCCCTCACAGCCAAACGGACGCTGCTGCCGCCCCAGCGGCCGCCGGCAGCACATGCCCCACGACCGGGCGCGAAACCCACCCCCGGCTGCCCCACCGCCTCCCGGTTCGCCCCGTAGCAAGGGCCGCTCCCCCTCCCCGTCAACCGGGCCAAAGAGAGGGGCAGCGCCGGCCCGCTCGAGCCCGGAACCATGGTGTTGCGGCCGCAGTACCCGCCAGGCCTCGGCGAAACGCTACACATCCTCCCCCCCCCTTCCTCCCCTTTCCCTCCCCGCCCGCCGGACCTGTCTAGCGGCGGCTTCCGGCGGGGCGGGCGTTCGGCGGTATGGTGCGGCAGCGGTGGTTCCAAGAGGTGGCAGCGGAGGAGCTGGCGGGCGCCTGCCCGGGACAGGCGCGGTTCCTGCTGTAAGCACCCCGCGCCGTGACGCGGCAACCCGCGGGGAGGGGAGGGGAGGGGACGGGACGGGACGGGAGGGGGAAAGCGAAGCGGCGAGGGAACGAGGCTGGAGGGGGTGGGAACAGAGGTAACCGGTGACGCATGTGGGTAGTCCCGCCCCGTGTCCTCGCGCCTGCCGTGGCGCGCCGCCGCGTGGCCGCTGACCGTGACGTGACGTGACGTGACGCGACGTGACGCGTGGTGACGCTGTGCCTTGCCTTCTCCCGCGCAGGTGGACGCTCCACAAGGCTCGAGGCGAGTGAGGGGTCCGTCCGCAGCGGAGGAGAGAGAGAGGGGGCTGCCCGGCTGTGCCGCGGCGGGACAGCGCGGTCTGCAGAGAGCAGGCTTTCCTTTCTTCTTCATCTCCCCCTTCCCCCTGCCCCAGCATGCGCTTCGGGGCTGCCGGTGGGAATGGCAGGTGTCCTGGTGATACCTTCGGGGTTGGGAGAGGGATACTCGGGTACAGACAGCTCTGGCAGCAGAAAGTAAGGTAGATGAGGAGCGTGCCCCCTATTATTAGATATAAGGAAGAAGTTCTTTGCAGTGAGGGTGGTGAGGCACTGGAACGGGTTGCCCAAAGAAGTGGTAAATGCGCCATCACTGGCAGAGTTCAGGGATAGGTTGGACAGAGCCTTGGGCATCATGGTCTAGTGGAAGGTGTCACTGTCCATGGAACTAGATGATCTTAAGGTGCTTTCCAACCCTAACTATTCTATGATTCTGTTAGGTCTGAAATTTATCCCAGAGTGTTTCTCCACCCCAGGCTGAGATGCTGTCCTTTTCTTGCCCTTAGGCAGACAACTTTATGAGGCTTTGGTGTCACTGATTTGGCAGGAGAATGTGCCTGCATGGAGCTCCTTGCAGAATTGTGAGCCTTTGTCATGAAAGATTTTTAGGAAGGAATTGCATCTTTTCTCAGGAAAATTGGCAATTACATACTGTGTAATTTAGGATGACGACTTGTGCTCAGCTGAGCACATACTGGTGCATATACTGGTGCTCTTGCATTCTAGTTGTACCTGAAACATAAAATCATATCAACCTAGAGAATGTTAAAATAGGAATATACCATTTTGTGTTTGCCTGTAAACCATAATTATTTCATGTAAATTTAAGTCTACCTTTATTAATCCATAGGTAAGGAACATGGATTAGAAAGGGTATGTCCTTACTGCTTCCAGTTCCTGCTTCCTGATAGCCAACGGGTGCGTCTCAAACCAAAGATGAAAGCGACCCCACAGATAGAGAAGATTCTCAAACGAGAGGCGAAGAACCACAAACTTAATATGAAACAGACAAAGCTTCTGAAAAAGTACAGGGAGTCAAGAAGTGTTCTGGTAAGGCTATTTACTTGGTGCTGCCAAATACCTGATATTTTCCTGAAACCTGAAGTTTCAGAAACCCTGAAATCCTTCTCTTAGAAAATGAGTGCACACCTACACATCTCTCTCTTTTCTTTCAGGAGCATGTAACTCTTCCTTTCTTTTGGGATAACTTCACAATCAAAATTCTTAGACTCTCCCCCCCTACAATAGGGAGATCATGAGTACACTGACAAGAACAGTAAGCTTCCCCTCCCCACAAAAGAACAGTAAGCTTCCCCTCCCCACAAAACCAGGCCAATCCCACATGTCGGAGAAGCTGCACAAACAGCTCTGCCTGCCCTGTGGTCTCTTTAGAGCAGCGTGGAGAGTCTGCAGATATGTAACATCTTGCTGAAAATTAAGTAATATTTTCCTGCCAGGAAGCTGTTGGCTTCCACCATCAGCATAACTGCAAAAAATGGCAGAAGTTCCAGGTTTTTCCCTGTTGCTTTTTTTTTCTATTAATTCTATTAAATTTCTATGAATTTTCAACTCTGCAAGATGCAGAGCCTTAATACAGGCTAAATGTACATCCTAAAATCCATTAGAATCTTTAGAAGTCCATTGCTTTGAATACCCCAAAACATACCTAAGACGAAAAACATGACTGAATTCAGGCTGGTTTTGCCAATAGGCATAGCTTGACCATTTATTGCCTTTGTTTCAGCTCTAAAGGGCTTGAGTGACTCATAGATTGTAATTTTTTTCCTCAGTTTTATCAGTAAAAATACTTCGGCTCAATGAGCTTTACTTCATTTATTTCAGTAGACTGACACAGCTACAGCAGATTATTGTTACCTTCTGTACAAGCTGAGTTTTTTACATTTGTCTATTACTGTTTATAGGAAGTCTTTCAAAACCAAACCACGCAGGTAATTTAAACAAGTTAATGTTGCTCCTGAGGTTTCAGTTCTTCCGCCTAAAATCACTCCAGAATGTAAGATTTAATTACTGTTTTTCATACTAACTACTATTATTTGAAGAATAATAGTATACATTTAATCTAGTATTAAATCTCCATGCACTACTATTAAAACGGGTTATATGAACGCATGTTTTGAGAAATGGGACAGCGCTGTATTGTGCCTGACAGTTGCTGGCTGGCACACTTGGCATTTTCTCAGATGAGAGTCTGCTGGTTTGGGGAGTAAAAGCTGTGGAACCCAGAATTATTAGAGTCAATAACATAAAATTAAACTGGGGAAATATCACAGAGGTTCTGAGCTGTCGGGGCTGAATAAGGTGCTCCAGAAAGGCGCCTTTGCTACTGCTCTCTCCAAATTATAGATCATAGTTGAGCAGCAGAAAGGGCATCTGAGAAGCTGGAATCTTTGCTTTATTTTTCTGGGATCACAAACGTTTAGCATACATTAAAAATTGTCTCTTTAGACAACTGATGGACATTGTCCTGTGGAATTATAGTAGGTTGTTAGATTTATTCTGTAGCTGGAGAAGTTTGTAGGACACACTGAGCATTGATGTGAATAGTTTAAAATTCAGTTTTAAATAGATCCTGTTTAATCTCTGGTTAATGCTCTAATCTTGGCATGTAATTACAGTTTGCTAAACTTGTGTTTTGCTCAGTTCTGCTTGCGTTTACGTTGTGGGTTATGATTTAAGTATTTATGGTTTTAAGTATTTAAAACGCTATCAGCAACTGGCAGCTTTCAAAACTAGCAGTGATGTAGATCCCTATAATCAAATACCTGAGGCTTGCAAAAATGAAAATCTGGAGTGTGGCCAAAAACTTAAACCTAGCAACAGTGTGACAGATTGTGCCTCTGATACCTTTCTTAGCAAGTAGAACTTGATTTGAGAATACTTCTGCCATGAAAAGTCATATAACAAAGGATCTACTTCAGAGCTGTTAAAAATTGTTGGAGGTAACTGCATATGCAGTTCAGGGAATGGAAACTAGCGGGACAGTGCTATGATTAGTTCATCAATTCCTGCATTATAAGGTGTTCGCCTCCATTTATATTCTGTGGGGTGCTAAATCATCATGTGATGCTGTTTTGTTTGGTTTTTTTCCATCTGAATTTCATTTAGAACTGAAAATTACATCAATACCTGAGCTGTATAAGTTAACGATCTTTCTCTTTTTCGGTTTGTTAGGCTGACAAAATAACACCTAGAGACCGTCACAACACAACTGAAAACATTTAATTTTGGAATTTTTAGATGTAATTCTTTCTAAGCAATGTGGATTTAGGGAAATACGCACACTGAAATGAGTGATTTGGTATAGATGTTTCAGAACTGCTTAGACATTTTTTGATGTTCTTTGAAATACGTTAATTTAACCAGAAACACCACGTGACTGTGTTTTTCAGTCAGTGTAATTGCGTGCCTCAGAAAGTTGTCTCACAATATTACTCTCATGTCTCTTTGTAAGAGTAGTTGCCATGGCAGTAATAGATGTTAGGAATATCTGATGGTCTCTGTGGCTGTCTGACATTATCTGTTCTGATGCACCTCTGCAGTTTACTGTGCTGCTCGAAGTCCCCTGCAGCCTAGAAGTAAACAGAAGAGAAGAGAAAGTGCCCTTTGTTTAGAACCTTTGTTGTAGCAAGTATTTTTGCACTGCAAACAGAAAGGGACTCAGAATGTAACTCAGAGTTATTTGTTCACTAAGATTTGTTGCTATTAGTTGTGGATGACTGGTTTTGAGAGTTTGGTAATTTAAGTGTTTTATCTTAAGACTCCCTGGCAAGTGTGTAATATAACTTCATCAGTGGTAGAATACGTTAATGAATTTAGATTACACTGGATGTCATGGGTTTTTAGAAAAATATGAATACTAATGTATATTTAAGATACCCTCTATCCAGTTCAGGTGCTGTTTAATCTTTCTGTTGTGACAGGATTATTTTCTGTATTTCACTGTACAATGTTCCATTCAGAGGTATGGGTCTCCTGACATTAGTTGCTAGGGAATTGGAGTCATTTCTAGATAAGCCCATAGGATGTGTTTGACTTACAAAGCCTGAATGAAAATGCTAGGTGTAGAGTATGTGTTGCTTTTTAATAGCTCATGTTTCACTCAAGCTAATATTTAATTTGTATCATGATATTTGGAGAATAGTTTGGGTAATTCTCACAATGGCTTTGTAACATAAAAGGTGGAAAGGCTGAAAGAACTAGTTGATACTTCCTTTCTTCTCTCCATAGCTGGTTACTTGCAAATCATGCAACAAAACAACAAGGCATTATGGTAAAAGCAGGGATTTTCTGGCTACCATGACACAAAATTCTGGCACTCCAAGTACTAAATCTACCCTGAGGACACCAGGTGTAAAAACTCAGTCTGCAAACAAAGTGACACCTGTAAACTGCAGTAGGTTGGGATCTAAAGGGAACAGTCCGTCATCATTTCCCAGGTACCTGTTTCTCTCCTATTTAAAGGGGTGTTTTGCTGAGTAGAGTGTGTTAGTTATGTCTTGTGGGAATGAGTGTCATGTACTGATTTCAGATCAGTCACTTAATAAACTTTAAATTGATAACTATTTTTCTTCAGTGGTCTGATTAAGGAGATCAGTTTTAGCTTTCCGACCTTTAAAATCAAAGATTCTAA